ACAGGTCTGTGCCCAGCAGAAGAGGCGCAGGGAACAGGAACGTGGCAATGGCAGGCTGGAACTGGGGTGTTTCCTTCTCCATCGCTTGATGATTATGCCAACAACTCAACTGCAGCTGCCTCATCCCACCCCGTGCTTTCTCTCCCTACACATTCCCATGCCTCTTGCCTCCCAGCAGCAGTGTCCATGCCCACCAACAGCTGTGGATAGCTGTGTCCCCACAGCATTGCAGGGCCCTGCTGTCTCCGCCATACGGGTTCCTGCCGGAGGAAGACCACCCCTGACCAGGTGGGACCTTGGGTAACTCTGCCCTTCTCCACCAAGAGCAGCACACATGGGATCAACGCCCAGCAGTGCTGAGGGAGGTCACAGCAGAGCAGCACTGACCCCATTGCAATCTTCCCTGTCCCCTGCCTGCGCGGTACCTGTGATGGCAGCCGTGAGGGGAGCCCAGCACGTGGTGCCAGGGCTCAGGCTGAGCGCCAAGGCAGCATCCAGCACGTCATTCGCACATGCAGGGACTGCAAATCCACTTGTGGTAACAGCACGTCTGTTTGCGCGAGGTGGTGGCCAACTGCGAGTGTTGCTCACTTCATCACCACCTTCCCCTCCATCCCCAGAGCTCAGCTGTGTTTTCCTGCAGCCCTTTGGAGCAGGAACCACCAAGGCTCTCCCTGGGTTCCTGCAACCCGCTGCAATGCAAGCACCAAAAGAACAAAAAAAAAAAAAAAAAAAAAAAAAAAAAAAAACCTGAAGGTGTTTTGCTGCCTCCAAGCTCTGTCCCTGTTACCGTATTTCATACACATATTTGGCTGAAAAATCCATTTCCTGGGACACTGCTGCAGCGAGCTGCTACAACTGTCAGCGTAAATGATGTTCTGCCAACGGCAATCTCGCGGTGTCATCTCTAATAACACGGCACTAAATCCCAGCTCACGGGGGACGTGCTCAGCTGCTGCGAGAGACTCCTCGGTGGCTCAGCCCAGACCCCCACCCATCACCCCGCTCTGTCCTCCCGTCCCTGCATTACTGCAGCACCGGGAGAGGATCACCTGGAGCAGCACTGCACAGACATCACCCCTGACAGAGGTTCTGTCGGTGCTGGGGGAAGGCTGTTGCACGTTCTGCTTCTTGCCAGCCTTGTCTGAGGCAAAGGCTTTTCCCCATATGGGTAACAGCAGTCACGGCCACCCCATGCACACGGACCAGGAACAGGGGGCAGAGGGCAGGAGGAACAGAAATCCCACATCCACACTGAGGTCCATGTCTGCACATCCCTCTGCATGTGCCCCTCAAAGCCCTCTGGCATCAAATGCCCGTAATCGCTCTCCAGAATGACCCACTCCTTCCAAAAGGGCAAATCCAAGGCTATTTATTACATTATCCCTATTTACAGAAAGTAAAGTGTTGAGGAACTGATTCTCCTCTGCAGCCTGACAACAGAGAGGGAAGTAGACCCTCTTTGATGGACCACACTTTGATGACTCCTCTGCAATAACCAGTCAATATGAAAAGACGCAAACACCTGAGATCTACAGGAAGGAGCTGTGGGGTTGGGATCTCAAAATGGATGGTCTTGTTTGAATGTCTTGTCCTTCTCTCACCCCAATGGGAGAAAACTCTATTAGATTCTAAAATTACCAAGATCCTCAACTTTCTTTAGGTCACTTAGGGGACACCACACTGTTTATACATACTGAAAGAGATTAAAAACCAAGGAGGAACAAGAATTTTGTCAAGACTAACAACACTGTGCAACCACAACTAATAGGAGGAAAGTGAAGTTTAGCTTCACAATGGAGAAGAAAGATCCCAGTATTTACTCAGTGGGGAAGATGCAATGGGAGTTAAGGGGGGTCCCACTCCTTCTGTCATTTAAATCAGAAGGGATGAAGTCCTTGCAACAATCTACTGTTCCAGTAGAAGCGCAGCTTCTGACTGTTATTTGTGCCCCATTGTGCCAGCGGTGGGCAAACACACAGCAAGAGGGAGCCCCTGCTCCCATGAAAACACAGAGAGAAAGCCTGTGCATGACATGGAGGGGAAAAGTGAAGTGACAGGTAAAGTGAGCTGCTGAGACCACACGTCATGTTCTCCAAGCCCTTCTGCTACTCCTCTTTGAGAGCTGCTTTATGAAGCGTGGCAACACTTCCCTGTGCATGTCAGGGACCTGGCAACACGACCAGGACACACAGGGAATTAGCTCTTTTTACACCAGTTCAGAGCAGGGCTCCAGAGCCTGCTTCCAGAAAAAGGAGCTACAAGAAACAGCCGACCCCAGGGAAAGGCAGCACGCACATCCAGAGCCTGGGAAAAGCATCCTACAGGCAGCTCCTAATGCCCTTTTTGGCAGAGGGGGCTGCAGTGGTCATTCATCACCTGTCCAGGTGTGGGGTGAAGGGACGGAGCTGCCAGATGTGTTCGGCACTGCGTCCACTGGGGAGCAGTGCAGATCCAAGGGGAAAATCCAGGCTCTCCCTATTTGGACAGCAGGCCTGCCTGACTGTATCCTGCTGTCCCGTCTGCTCTCTCTTCCCTTCCAGCTTCCCCAGGGAAGGTCTGGAAATTTGCACCATGAAGTCTGCACAGTCGAAACATCTGCAGCGCCGCCGCTCCCTGCCCTGCCTGGGGAAGGCCAGCCTGGACACACAGCACAGCTGGAATTCCCCCCAGGATGGGGGAGGTCACACTGTCCAGGGAAACAACACTTTGGGGGATTTTGCAGATAATGACAGAAGGAGGTATCATGCTAATTGCTGCCTTTACTGGGAAAAGGCCTTTGATAAGGGAGATGGAACAATTCCCAGCCATCACACTGGGAAGGGATGGGGGGGAGGAACAGGACAACTGGGCAAAAGAGTTACAGGGAAACAGATTCTTTTGCCGTGCACAGCCTGTTCAAATCAGCCCTGTCTGGCAGGGGAAGGGGCACGAACACGAGATGTTCCCAGGCCTGAGTGCTGGAAGCGTTTGCATTATTACCAGCAAGACCCCAAAATCTGCCCCGAGCACAGACTGGATCATCATCACACAGCACTGCCAGTGCTGCCAGCGGGACAACAAAGCAGAGGACAGCTGGTAAGGAGACACGAGGTCCCACTGCACAAATCTTTTCCAGGGCCCTGGGCAGTGCAGCAGGAATTAAAGGCTGGACTGTCATCTTACCTTGGCACAAAGGACTCCCCAGCCATCAGCAGGGGAGGGGAATAGTTTAGCTGCTCCTGCCTGAAGACACATAGGAGTTTGGTCCCTGATATTTCCAAACAAGCAACTCAAGCAACACTAAACAGCTGTAATTTCAGGCTATTGTTCTTTTGTTGTTTGTTTTTCAGTTTGTTTTGCGTTTTTCCTGGAATTCTTTGTTTGTTTTGGTTTAGTTTTGTTTTTTCACAACTGGCAAAGGATTTCTGCCTGACCACATCACTCTAACTACTATCAGCTGCTTCTGAACAGGGAGGAAAAGACTCCTCAAGCCAGTCCAGGCATCCAAAAATGTGCCTGTGATGGTGAAGTGATGAAACAAAAAAGGATCAATACCATGCCAGTCACTGGTGGAGGAGTTTGCAGCCTGCACAGGTCACTGCAGTTTCCCATCTGTCTTGGAGATACTTCTCCCCAATTATAAAAAACCCCAGAGATTTAACAGGCATGTTTTTCATCACTATCAGCTCAATCTGGTGAAAAACTCAACCTCGCATATTTGTTTTAGCAGCCAGCGGGTGGTGTGGTGCTGCAGAAGAGAGATTTGGGTGAGAACTCCAGGCAGAAATCTGCTCGGGCCGGCTGGTGCTCCAGAAGGAACGCTTCCCATTTAACCTCTTCCACTGCCTCCATTTGCAAAGCAGATTAAACATTGCAGAGCTACAAGATGCAATTATGCAGAACGAGCTATGATGCCAAGGACAGCGAATTCACCTTTGCAGCTCGATCGATATCAGTTATCGATGGCAAAGCAGGCCCAACACGGGAGCTGCCTCTGGAGTGTGGAACTGCCCACGGGAAGCGCTCCCCTCAGCTCTGAGCTTCATTAAACACACAGAGGATCTGGCAGGGGCTGGCAATTAGATACAGAGCATTCAACCGTTCATGAATTCACCGCAGATTCCTCCCAGATTACCTCCACGACACAATCCATTGATCAGAGGTGTGTTCTCAGGCTCCACAGTTAATTACACTCCCTGCTGATGGATGAACAGCAAAGCCATCGCTGTGAGAATACACTGGGAGCAGAATGCCAAGCAACACAATCCTAAACAAAGACAAAAGGGGCTGGGAAGGGTTTCGGAGCTTTCAAGGTTAAAGCTGCCTGCAAAACACACCAGGGTCAGCATGAACAGGGGACAGACCTGGCAGGGGGGCAGAGTCCCAAGAGAAGGGACAGCTCAGCCACAGTCCCAGCCCTGGAGAGCTTGTCCACTCGCAGAATGGGGATTATACGATGCTGGGGAGGCAGCCAGGAGTGCTGGGAAGGACGCCGGAGTCTGGAGACCCCCACTGCACTCCTGATCTCAGCTACGTTCTCATGTCCGGACTTGCCCACTGCACTCTTGTTTACAAAGAAAAATGCACTCAGAGTCTGAGGCCCAGACTGGGGGGCGAAGGACAGCTCCCACCCAAAGCCTTGCTCCAAAGGCCTGTGTCACCAGAGGAAATCCAGCTGAGGCCATTCCCAAATACCACACAAAGATCTCTGCAGCCTCCCCAGCACTCAGCAAAGAGCCAGAGATATGGACACAGAATGCAACTCGGATGTCACTGTGCTCAAACCCCTCTGGACTGTGCTGGGCAACCCAGACAGACAGTCCTGCCAACTACTCCAGCCTCCAACTCCCTCTCTTGCTCACTTGAGAAGCACCTTCCTCTGTCCGTGCCAGCCTTTGCTTGTCTTGCCATCCAAGGCCACTGGAGATGAGTTTGCAGCAATGCTGCACTCCCCTAAGGTGCAGACAGGTACCTGGCAGCCCTGTGCCCAGCCCAGCAGGCCCCTGGCAGCTCCTCACCTTTCACCACGCTCAGGGTGGCCTCGTTGCTGTAGCGCTTTCGGGCGGCGTTGGTGGCCACGCAGTGATAAACCCCGGCATCGCTCTCCTGCACATCCACGATCTGGAGGACACCGTTGGGAAGAGTTATAAACCTGAGTGAGCAAAAGGGAGAGTGTGAGACAGGCTGTGCCTTATCCAAGCTATTCGTCCCTCAAAGCCCTTTTGTCCCTTCCTTTCCCCCTGCAGATGTCTCGTGTGTCTTGGTAAATGGGCAGAATGGGCTCAAGGAACCTCTGAGCAATCCAACCTGTGGTTCTTCAAAAGCAGCAGATACAGACCTATCCATCACCTTGGAGTCTTCACAATCCAGAATCTGCTTTTGAGACCAAGCTGAGAGGGCTTGGCTGACACAAACCATCTGACAGTACAAACCAACTCCATGCACACACACACACACATATCTACGTACACACTTGTAATGTCTCCAAGCACACAGGTGCTTGAACACACACCACAGCCAGTTTCAGCACTTGCTTTTCACAAAGATTTGGTTGCCAGAGAAAAAAAAAAAAAACACATTGCAAAGAAGTCTGAACATCATCCTTTTCCTGCTGCATGAAGGACCAACTGATACACGGCTGCACCTTCATGGGCCAAAGCAGCCGGGACACAGCCATCTGAACCTGCACCATTCCTGGGCTGTAGCGATTCCTTTCCTTCTTCCACAAGTTTCAGGCACTTCCACAACCTGACAAACTTACAGCTGGGCATTCAGAGTCCCCCCATTTGCCCATGGGGTGCTACTGGGCAACACTTCCACAGAGTGAAATGGCTACAAGGCTCGTGACACGAACACAGTCCTTGCTGCATTACGCTGAACAAAGCTGATGATTAGCAATTAGCATAAAAGTAGGAGCTGGCTGTCAGCATCTCCATTTTCTGCCTGGATTCCTAGATGGCAGCCTCTTTATTCTTGAACGCAAGGCGCAAAGCCTACGTGATCCTTTTTAATTATATATGAGATCCATTTTTAATTGCGAGTCTCTATATAAACAGAGCTGCTGAGGTTTGACAGGCAGCTCTGGGTTATCAGTCTTCATTATGAAGAGGACACATTCAAAGGCAATTGCTGAGGGGAGGGACAGCAGCTACTCCACGGGAACGGCACAAAGACAAGTTAAAACCACGAATGCCAGTCCTGCCATCCACAAAGATCACGGTAAGTAAAACTGAGGTTCTCCAGGTGCTGAGATAGCTGGAGTGCCATGAACGAGGGTCATGGAGCCAGGAGGACCTTAACAGATCACTCATCCTGTGTTCAAACCGCGGTCCCCAATCACACACCTGCTCCTGCAAACATTTTTTCCTAAATCTGCAGTAATGGAAACCACCTCCCTGACCCTAAGCACTCTGTTCCAGAGGCAAATGTCCCTGCTACAAGTCTAGCATCAATCCTGGACCTCAGCTGCTGCGGTTGAGCTCATCACATCTCATCCTCAAGAGCTACCAGAGCTCCTCCAGTGACCACTGTGCCTCTACTGGCCCAATCCTGCAGCCTGATTCACGGACACAGAGCGGCTGAACCTTCCCCCGTACACAAACCCAATTCCTTGCACCCCTAAAGCCACGATCCCGCTACTTACAAAGACACTTTGCTCAGGAGCAAGCTCCAGAGACCTCAGAGGAGGTGGTACCCAAAAGCCCTCATCAGGATGCCTCATCAGGACTCGGGAGAAAGATGACAAATATTTGCATCCCCTCGGCTCCGCGGAGGGAAAGCCTCCCACTGCGATAATATTTATTTTTGTCGTGCATCTGCTATTTGAGTCTGTAATTAATATCAACATATTTCAAACACCAGGCAAGGCATCTCCCAGCCACAAAAAGACACTCCAATTATGTATCACAGACTCAACGAGGCTGGGAAGGACCTCTGGAAATCGCCTGTGGCTTTTCTCTTCTCAGACCGGGGTCAGAACCGTGTCCACAGTCGTGCCCAACACTCTCAGCTTCTCTTGAGGGCAGAAAACGAGGCACTGTGTTTCTAAAGTGAGCAGGAGCTGGAGACAAGGGGGATGAGTGGGAAGACTCCATCAACACAGAGTTTAACACGGTCCCTTCAGCAAGGCAAGCGGTAGAGATCTGTTTGATGCAGCACATCCTGCTGGGAAAGCATGGCAGAGGTAAGGATCGCTCTGCTGGGGAAGCAAGGAGGGAAGAAAGGCAGGATTTCTCTATCCACCATTTCTCCCAGCTGCTCACAAAGCCTCCAGCTCTTCAGGGTCCCAGCAGCCCTGAACCAGAAGCCTCCAGGCAGCCTGCAAGGGCACTTGCTCCATCCCCAGGCTCCCCGTGAGGAAGTTTCCCCGATGACTCAGAGCAGACAGTTGGCGAGGGCTTTTCTTCCACGCCAAGGGCAGAGCTTTCTGTCTGCTCACCTTCGCTGTGGATCAAGCAGAAAACAAAAACCAAAGGACAGACAGACACGCTGGACCCTTGGCAGTCCCAGGTGTTGTGCTGTTGACAGCTGCAGTGTCAGGATCTCACAGGAGCCTGCCTTGAAGGGCAGTGAAAGGCAAGTGCTCCACCGGGCGCAGGTTGAAGGGCAGCACACTCAGAGCAGGGCACAACTACCATGGACACAGAGCAACAGCAACAGGGCACACACGGGGAGCTGTTCCCCTCCCTGAGAGCACAGAGGGGCTCACAGCTGCTCACCAGGGCAGTGCTCAGGACCTGAAATCAAGCACCGCTTCCTCGTGTCCAAAACCTGCAACCCCACAGCTCAGAGAATGTTCCAGCATTAACAGCCCAATTCCCTCTCTTATGTTCTCCCCAGTAAGCTGCCAGCACAGCCTTCCTGCAGCCTTTGGAAGGTGTCCAGAGCAGACCAAAGCACCAATCCTCAGGGCAGTGAGGAACCTGCAGCTCTGCTGCAGACTCTGAGTCCTTTTTCTCACAGCTCAAGAGCCCTGTTTGAACACGAGCCCTATTTGAACACGAGCCCTATTTGAACACGAGCCCTATTTGAACACGAGCCCTATTTGAACACGAGCCATACTAAGGCTCTCCTGACACTGCACAGAAATAAACTCTCCACACACAGATAAAACCCACCCTTAGCCAAAATGTGGAAAAACACGCTGTGATTGCAGAGCATGGGATCTGGAGGTTATGGGTGTGCTGTGCAGACCTCCAAAGGCCTCTGGTTCATACCAAATGCTCATCTTGGCTCTAGAGAAAATAAACAGCAATTTGGAGCCTGATGTGAAACCCAGCCAGCACCTAAAGAGAGAAGAGATCACGCCAGGAGATGCTGCACACTCCCCAAAGCAACTGCAGGCTAGAGAAATCCTGTGAGCCACCTCTCAGCAGCTGCTGCAGATTTAAGACCGTGCTTTTTCAACATAATTCAGAGCCAGAACTGCAAAATAATTCTGTGCCTTACTCACACATGGAATTTAGATTTTGTCCTGAACAGGGACAGGAAAGGTATTCCAAAATCAGCACTTTGCTACCCTTTTTAGGGTGTCTAGGTTCGTCCTTCAGTACCTTTGAGGTGGCAACATGTTAGAACCTGCACCCAGGGGAGAAGGCTGAAATGAGTGCCCAAAGGTAAGATCAACAAAGAAAAGGGGGAAGGAAAGAAAGAAAGAAAAGGGGAAAAGGAAGAGGGGAGAAATGCAAAAGGAAGAGGGGGAAGAAGGGAGAAAACACTGTTTTTCATGATTATTTTCTCCCTCTTAAAAGAAATCCCAAGCACTGGTGCAATAGCACTACTCCTGGGTTGTATCTGAGCTTGATTTTGCACCCCTCCCAACCCTGCTATTGTGGACTGTGAAATCATCCCCCCGACACCTGCCCAGCCCCAGGACTGCATTTGCAGAGGCTCATCCCTGTGTGCTCAGGAGGGAGCCCACAGCAAGCAGGGCAGCCTCAGATCCAGTCCTCAGGCACGATGCAGGGAGCTCTGGTTGGCAGCCAGCGTTTCCTGGAATTCACTTAATTCCTTCGAAAGCCGGTTATATTAAATCCAACAACAACTAGACAACAACAACAAAAAAAGCAAATCCTTCTGAAAAAGCATATTAGCTAGAACATGATTTAAAAAGCAAGATTTGCAGCCGGAGATTACGGCCTGGCTTTTACAAGGAAAACAATTTTCAGGCTGCCCGTGATGAAAGCAATCTCTGAGCAAGTAATTTCACAATATCCATCGAGCTGTCTCATTAAAAAGCCATTGCCCTATCTATGGCACACTTCTCCCTGCAATCCCTTCCTTTTTGGTTTTTTTTTTCCCCTTCCTTTTTCATTAATTAATTTTCTTCTCCTTACAAAGCAACAGCCTCCCGTAAACCTTTAGATGCCACGCTCCAGACTCGAGGATGTAAGCGGTCACTCTTACAGAAAGTCACTGCTGCAAAAGTATTCCTAAACCTTACCCCAGCCCTCTTTCTCTCCTCTCCTGCCTCTTGGATTAACTCCCCTGGGAAGGAAGCAGCTCCTTCTGCAGAACAGAAAAGGAGTTTTTAAGAACTAGAGGACCATTCAGTGACTGATCCCCTGCAGAAGTGATGCCTACAGGCCAACTAACAGCCAACTAATGGGTTTATCCCCTTCTCATGCCTTTAACTGACTTTCATTAAGGAAAAGGTATCATACTGCAGGACTCTCATCTTTTCCCAAAAATAAAAAAAAAAAAAAAAAGGAAAAATCAGGGCCTTTTATTAGATGTCCTCCCAACATGGGAGTAAAACAAACAGAAAGACCTCCCAGGTTACCGAGCACACACTGTGCTCTAGAAGAGTCATTAACCCTGAGATAAATCCACGTGTGAAAACAGTGAAGAAAACAACTGTCCCTAAAGCCACAACCAATAAAACTCCACATCATGGAGTTCAGCTGGGTACACCCAGTACCCCACGGTCAGCTGGAGAAATTGTCCTCATGCCAGGTCCCAATCCCCCAAAGAATTCCACCTCACTTCACACCAGAGGATGAGCCCAGGGCAGTGCCAAGGGCTGCCCTGCCCTGTTCCAGGCACACTCAGGGTGCAGGTTCTGTGCTGGAACACAGCACAATATCAGGGTCGAGTTTTCTTCTTCTGTGGCTTGGATCTTTGGGGAAAAGTTAATTTTATTTAGGTGTTTTATATGTTGCATGGGGCCCTGGAATACCTGGGTTCTGCAGGAACAGCTTCGTGGTCCTTCTCCCACGTGATGACAGGGGAGGGCAGCCCTTCGATGCCACACTCGAACCGGGCCATGCCATTTTCTTCCACCGTCTGCGACTCCGGCTGCTGGAAGAAGCGTGACAGTGCTGGGGGGAGAAAAAGGGAAGGGCAGTTAATAACTCGCTGTTTCTGCTGAGCAATGCAAACCTGCTGGGATGGATGAGCCATGAGGAAGGCTTTTCTCTCCTAAAGAGAACCTGAAGTGCAATTCCTCCCTTTCCTGTGCCCTGCAGACCCTCAGCGGTCCTAACCACAGTAACTGAAAGGTTTCAATGTGCAAATTTGCGTCTTGCCTCATTTTCTCCCCCCGAGGCAACAGCGTGAGAGAAAGGCAGGCAATTAGCTGGTTTCAGCAGTTACCTTCCTAAATTGCTTCCTTGTCTTTTCCCCTGCTCAATTGGGGAAGGACATGCACAATGAGAAACAGAAGGGAAATGCCACAACCGGAGAGATGAGAGTTTCCCCTTGCCTTGTAGCATTCCTGCAGCCACAGGAAATTAAAGCAAGGCAGGAGGAAGAACAAAGCCAGACGGCAAGTTATTTACACAGAACAACTGCCCCCAGGCTGGCAGTGCTGCAGACCAGGGGCAGAGGCTGGGGGGGGGTTATGATCCTCCTTCTCCTACCTGCAAAAAACCAACCTCATCCTCCTCAAGCAGATGGGATGCAGCCAAGGGGACACAGACACCTTGCTGAGAAGAGGAGGATGGATTTCATAAATGCCAGGACACAAGGCTCACCCCTGCCTGCGTGTCTTTACTACAGGGTGAACTTGATTTGGAGACAAAGCACTGAGAGTTGGGATTGCTCTTGGACAGCACCTTGCCCATCCTTCACAGGCAGCTGCCTCATCTTCCTCCCCTTCCAGGCACACAAAACCCTGCTGACTCTGGAGCAGAGATCCTCCCCCGGGGCTGTCAGCATCTGTCCTATCCACGGCATAACCCGAAGGCATCTCAGTCCCACGGTGGAGAGTTGAATATTCATGCAGGCTCCTGGATGGGGGCAGAAAGCCTGGATTCTCCTCCACCACAAGAACTGCCTTCTGCTTTCAATACTTCTCTGTCAAACTGCCCTTGCTGTGAAACCCACCCTGCTGCACAGACCCCTCCAGCAATGCTGGCACACGGTGCCAGAAACCCTCAACGTGGCACAATAGACAGAAATTTCAGCCAGAAAACACACTTGACTGCTGGGCCAAGCACAGCACTGTGCTCATAAGGACCCCGAGTGACCTTCTGGCCCTCCAACACAATCGTGTGCTTGTCCCACCACTGCTTTCCAAGAACATCCATCACCGCTCTGGATTTTGTAGTAGGACTCCAAACTTGAAGTTTTCTTTGCGTCTCACAATCACACAAACATCCATGCACACACAAACACGCTTTATTGCGGTGTTAGCTTGAGAAAGTATGCAGAGTTTTGAAAATGAAAGGCTTTTACACGACCCATTTTAACCTCGGCATATTCTCAGCTGTCATTAGTGTTTTTCTTTAATTTAAATAGTTATCACATGTTTCAAGCAGCTCACTGCTCTCCGCAGCAGCTACAGACCAAATTCTCCCACCAGCTGTCTGCCAAGTCTACTTTTCCAGTTCCATACAAATGGCAATGAAAAATACTTTTCTGGGAAAAAAAAAAAAAAAACAAACCTGAAAAAGACATTAATATGTAAGGTCTAAATTCAGCCAACTGCTTTAGCATGCTCAAATACACACTGCAGACCCCCTTAACACAGAGTCATGTCTACAGATTACAAGATCTTTTTAAGCTCATGTGAATAAAACTTGCTGAAGCCAAGAGTTTAAAAAAAAAAAATCCATCAAGTGCCAGCACACGTTCAGGATGGCACCATCAAAACAAGCTTGTCCTGGCAGCAAATATCCTTAATCACCTTTCCCATTATTCTCTTTTCATCCCACGGGTATAAATGATAGTATTTTGGCGGGCTCTGGAGGGTCATGTAGCTGGGACGGTCACAATGGGAGGCAGGAATCCTTCTAAAAAGAAGAAATCAGTAGAAGAAATCTGTTTCCTTTGCTTCATATTGGGTCACCTGCCTCTCTGCTGTTCATTATTAAGTGGCATCATCTTGGTGTACAAAATGTGACAGAGCCTCCTGGGCTACCCAGGTTACCAGGCAATAACCTGTCCTGGCTCTTCCTGCCCATCAGCTGCCAGACCTGCGCCTGCAAGCTTGAAATTCCCTGCTGAGAACCGAATCCTGCCCTTCACCTCCATCCACAGCCCCATCTGCCTGCTGTGCTGGGCTCTGGAATGGCTCTTCAAAAGCAAAGAGCCAAGAAATGTGCCCGTGACAGATTCCTCATTAGGATGTGGAGGAGCGTGACTAAACAGCGACCCTGCTTAGGGAGTTTCCCTCTCGCTGGGAGCAGCAGGAACAGCCAGGCTTCCCAAGAGGAGTCACGGCTTCCCAAGAGGAGTCATGGCTTCCCAGCAGGGCTGGCAGCTCCGAGGGTGCCAGAGCTTCAACCCTGGCAATGCCCAGCAGACTGGTTTGGCTGTTAGTGCCTTCTTGTGATGGCTCTTGCAGGGGGAATTCAGAAGCGGAGCAGCTTTGTCACATTCCTTTGACAGGATGAGGATAGTGGGGATAGGGATAGACTGGAAAAATCACCTCTGAAAGCAGCAGCCGGAAGCATCTCTGGTGAAGGAGAGGATGGGAACAGGAACAGGGATCTCCTATGCACAGAAAGCAACACCAAACCAAGGTAAGAACAGTGAAAAGGTTCCTCTGATGCAGGACTGACCAAGGCCCCTGGATCTCAGCCCTGCAAGGCTCAGGCACAAACACGCTGGTCAGGCTCATTGCTGCTCCACAAGCACCTGCACCAGCTTGGGGCCAAGACCACAGAAAGCTGTGATCCCTCTCTCATCCCAAGGGGCACCAGGGTGAAATGGAAGAGGCAGGAAACATCCAGCACCTCCAGTGCTACCAAACCCAGGCTCAGAGCTGTGCTGGTAACAGCTGGTGCTGGGAGGAAAAAGAACCAGGCAAGGTTGCTGTGGGAGGAGAGCAGTGGAGAGCAGGTCCTGCTACCCCAATGCACTGCACAGACAGGTCACAGTGAGTGCAGGACAGGCTCCGACACACTGCTCACCCCTCACACAGGGATCCTGGGAGGGGCTGTTCTGCCCCCATAAACATATTCTGATGAAGAGGCTGCTGCACAAGTGCTGTAGAGTGAGAGGTTTTCATTGTAGCGAGGCAGGGAAAGGAAATGCTTGAGGGGAAGAGGCAAACAAAGCCGATACACATTCAACATTAATTTCCACTCCTCGGCTCAGGTTTAGCTTGCAAAGCCATCCCGAGCCACGAAACACCTCCTCGCCCCGTTGCACTGATTATCCCGAACACCTTAATAGGCCACTCAGTAAAAATGACCCACTGCAGGTGAGAAGGTGAAGAGCATTACAGCAAATTGCCCTCAGTGGCACGCCAAAGTGCCGGGCTCTGCCTCCAGGAGTGGAGCAGCAGCTCCCTCCCCGCTGACACCTTAAACCCAGCTGGAGCCAAGCCGTGTGTGCCAAGGCTTTTAGCCCTGAGCCCAGGGGTGACTGCAGAATGGAGAAACACAGCACCCTCCCCCTCTCCCAGCAGCGTGATCCGTGCAGGAGGCTGTGAGCTTGGAAAGACTGCCAGCCAGCAACACTACACCCCAGGCAGAAAATGCAGTCTATGCAAGGAATTCAGCCTTCTGAAAGGGGCTCGCTGCTCTCTCCCACAGCGCTTTGCCCCCAGACTCCCTGTGCTCGTCCTCTTTGTACCTTCTGTAAGTATTAGTAGGTGTTTCCAAGTTGGGGGCGGCTTCAGCCCCCACTGAGATCACACACACCACCCAGATCATCCATCCCTGAGCCACTCACCTCTGAACAGGCTGGGGGTGGAAGGGGGACATGCACAGAAAGCCAGGGGAGCGATTTGCCATGGCCCCAGGGCAGAGCCAGCACAGGCTGGGTCTGGAGGCCCAGGATTGCTCCTGCTCTGCACAGGCACCAGCTCCCCACCTGCTCAAGGCAGCACATCCACAGATGGTCCAGAGCCTGTGCATTCCCCCTGCCCAGCCTGGCTATGCCCACAGTCACCAGCCTTCACTCACCTATGCGCCTAATCCACACAATGAATGGGATAAAATCCATAAAATAAATCCTTAAAGTAAGAGAAAAGCCCAGCCTGCTGTTCCTCAAATCCCAGGCACACCGTGCACCGCAGAGGAGAGACACTGTGCGTGTGGAGAGGGGATCATCAGAGCCCATGTGGGTCGATTCCTGCTGTGGCCTGTCCCTCCAGGTGCAGGAACACTCCAAACCTCTCCTGAGCTCGCTGCCAGCAGCCACAGGGCGCTGGCCCCTTCCCTCCAGGCACAACGAACGCCTTCACCTGACAGCCACAATTACTGTAATTTTCTACAACCTCCCTTTGCACAAAATGTTTAAGCTAAATTAAAAGCTTTAACAAATCTCCACCAATGTAGTTATTAACAGGTAGAAAGCTACACCTTCCCACAACTACAACAACGCCCCTGGTATTTCCATGTGGGAACAACTCAGGGATGTGAGAAACCCACAAACCTGATTCATCAGCCTGAGCAGCTGCTCGTTGAACAGACACACACCACGTTCCCCACAGCCTTGCTCCTCCTCTTTGCCACGGCCACCACTGCCTCAAGGTGTGGATGGGGACCATGGCACAGATCTCCCTTGGTGGCACACAGGGTGCCAGGGAACACTGGGCAGTTCTGAGACACATCTTTAGCCAGCAAAATGCCAACAAACTGAACTCTTGGGCCACGGTGGAAGGACGGAAGTCACCCCAGTGCCACAGCCTTCACACACCATCCAACCTCCATCGCTCCAGCCTGACTGCTCCGAAGAGCCCCTTCCAGCCTCCAGGCTGGCTGCTGCCTGGAGTGTCCCTCCCTCCACCTGGAAGCTGCTGCCAGAGGTGCCAGAGCTGCTCTGGGGCTGCCAGGGGAGAGAAGGGGACTCCCTGAAATGTGGCAGACCCACTAACAGCACCAAAGCAGCGCAGAAAAGGGCAGGTATCCTCAGGTATCTCCTACCGGACACTGCAAGGCTCGGTGACACACAGAGTGACCCACATCCCCACCTGGGATCCCCATCCCAGGGAAGGCAGGGCCCTGCAGGTCAGAAGGACAAGCTGACAGCAGGAATAACACATCCCACCCGCTGAACAGGTTTTCTTCTACTGCCCTGTCCTGATCAGCAGCACCCAGGGCAATCAGCACACAGAATAACTCCATCCACAAGCAAACAGCTCTGGAGAGACCCTGTTCAGTGGCAGGTGAAAATCCCAGGCCTTTACAATCCTCACCTGCTCCAGCTGAATGCAAATGGAGCAAGGGCTCCTGCCCAGCCCACAGAACGAATCAAAGCAGATTTCATTAATCAGCTCCCTCGCTGCTCTCTGCTCAGCAGTGGGTTTGTTATGTCAGGTGCACGTGTGTGCCACGGAGGCAGCACTCTGCCAGTGCAGATGGTAATAAAATGAGACACAAGTACACACAAGGAAAGAGTTCACCTGAAATTCCCTGTGTCTGGGAGAAACCCAGAATTAGATGGAAAGAGGCATCACACCTTTGTAGGCTCCTCTGGAAAAATCCAGGGGGAGGGAAGGGCAATTTAAATCAGTCTCCTGGTTTTGAGGTGTCTCCACTGCTCTCGCTCATGAGACACCAAACACCAAACCCAAGACCACAAGAGAGACACAAACCACTGCAACCAGGCAAGAGGCACAGTGCAAACTTCAACACAAATCACTCCTAAAAGAGAACATATCCTAATTCAGGCTGTCTGGAACTGGGGCAGGAGCAGCTGAATAAATCCTCCTGGACTAATAACAGCTTTTCTACTCCAGGACTCCAGCCTCTCCAGAAAACACCTCCATGCAGGATCCCTGACTCCATCCCCACAGCCCTCGGGGTCCTTTCACTTAACAAAATGCTGGAACCAGCTATTTACCTGGCACTACAAATCACTGAAAGGGGGGAACAGGAGGGACGGGTGACCAGCAATCTGTGGCTGCTGCATGCTAAACATTTTCTGAGCAGAGAAGCAGGACATGCTGCAAAGGTCAAAGACCTTCCCCTAATCTGGCAAAGCTTCACCAGCAATGCTGGTTTCTGCAGCAGAGCACTCACAGACTGGAACACCCACTTGGCCAAACCTGGACAGCCCTGCCTGGGCTACCAGAGGCTAAAAACATCCCAGTGTAAAGAGGGTGTCAGGACATCCACTCTGCACCTTCCCCCAGCACAGCTCTGATCAAGCGCCGTGACGGTGTCCTGTGCACCTGCATTCAGCAATGTTCATGTAAGGCACTGCACTAGAGAGAAGTGGGGCTGGATTTGCATTATTTTCTAACCTCACATTGTTTGGTGGATCAAGGAATCATTTATTGGCACTCACAGCCTTAAAACAGCTCCAGGAACCATCCCTGAATACAAAGGAATTTTCTTTTCGAACGCTGTGCAAAGAGTCAGTGGTTCAGACTTTGGAATGTCCTCCTCAGAGATCCAAACAGAAACTACCTGGAAGAGCCCCTTCTTCCATCTCCTCCATTATATCCAAGAGATATTCACCTCACAGGCAGTCACAGCCAGACCCCCACAGCCACTTCCCCAGGCACAAGGTGCTGCCCTCAGAGCTCTGAAGTTCCCTGCAAAAACAAGCCCTGCTTTTTGGAGAGTGAGGAGGGTCCTGTTTTTCAATCATGACCTGATGGCACTTACCTGGGAGAGTTACACAGTGGGATATCAGGAGCACAGACAACACTGCTTATTTGTGGACTGTGCCTAATCCCCTATACATCATTAATAGAATTAGACTTCATAGACAATTTATCTCAAACTCTCAGGGAGGCAGGTGCTCTGCACAAATACCAGGAGGGGAAGGAAGGAAGGAAGGAAGATCAACAAAATATCCAGAACACTTACTTGAAAACCTGACTGTAGCTGTCTGACTGGTGACAGTCCCCAGGGAGCTGTGAGACACGCAGGAGTAATTGCCCTCAGCACCAGGACTTTTACTGTCCTTTGCCACAGCCTGGGATGAGATGAAGAGCGATCCATTCGGGAGCACGTGGAGATGTTCCTGCTCCACTAATGGAAACCCATTCTTCTTCCATGTGATGTTGATCACTTGCTCAGCAGGGGTCAGGTTACAGTCCAAAACCACTGCCTGGTTTGGCTCCAGTATCACCTTTGCAGGACCAGCACTACAGCTCAGCTCCAGAGAATCCCCTTCCAACAGGCTCCCTGCAAAGAGAAGACAGTGTTTGCAGAAGGGTTTGCTTTCCTTGGTTAATCACATCCCAGTTGAGACACCAGGTGAAATTCAGCCCTGTGAGGTGGCAGCACCTCCCATGACCCTTGTGCACTGCATTCTCCATCACACACCCCCGTGGCTGCACAACCTGCACCACTTCTGCCACCCCTCCTGTCCACACTTGCTTTTTCCAGGCTGGATTCAAGCAGAAAACAGATGGAAGACGGTGAAGTGACGGCAACAGCAAGAACAAGCACAGAAGATGCAGTAAGGGCTGCCCATGACAAGCAAAGCCTCCCCCTCACCTGCACACCGGAGCCTCCTCCTGATCAACCCCCACAGGACAACTCAGTCCCGCAGGTATCCAAGCCCAGCATGGTATCCCCATAACAATGACCACAACGTGGCTGGAGCAGGTCCCCTCTCAGTGGCAGTAAGAGCTCAAGTCCAGCTGGGAATCCAGTAAGACAGCAAACTCCCATTGATATTCACCTACTGGGAAACTCATCTCAAAGCAAAGACAACAAAAGAATGGCTGAAAACATGACCTGCTGTCTCTGAGCATTTTACACCTTACAGCTGAAGCCAGAATGAGAATGGAACGGATGCATTTTCCACAATGGAAAAGGATATTCCAATTGCTAGCAGACAGTACCCTGCACGTGCCCTTAGGCAACCTTCCCGCTGCAGCCCGAGGCCGGAGCAGTGACCAGCAGCGAGCTCAGCTGAGCAGATCTCGGTCTGGCCAACTTCCAAACCCACGTACTCGAGGGGAGCTCCACCTCTGAAACAATGCTCAGCATTTCCTACCAGAATATTGCCATTAATAAAATGCATTTGCCGTTAGAGTCCTCCAGAGACACTAAGTCAATGTTAGCTGGCAGCGCTGCTTCCACACACCAGCAATTTCAATCTCTGCTGTGCTCAAACCATCACCATCCACTCTTTTTATGGCTCCGCTCCAAATTATTTTGTCACTGCTCCAATCAGAAATGTTTCCTGCCTCTATAACAAGTTTATCAACACTGGATATGAACCACATGGCTCCCTGCCCGTCTCCTATCGCAGAAGGCTACAGATTAATTTTATAGGAATTCAAACACCCTATTAAACCTGCTACTACCTACTGCTGATAAAAGGGCTGCACTTTAAAAGAGTGTGTGTTAAGCATGCAATTAGGGGCAATGACACACAAAATTACACGTGCAGGGAGATGGAATTATTTCAAGGCGTGTGCCAGAAACCGCAGGTGCCCCTGGAAGGCAGGAAGGGTCCAACCCTGCCCACGTGCGGGGCCGACTCGGCGCCCATGGGGTGGGAACTCGTCGGGTTTGTCTTTGCTGCCGGGTGGTAGAACGACCACCAAGAGTTGGAGTTGGCCAGTTCTGTCCCTTCAGTGATGAGGAGGCTCCACAAGAGTCCCTGCTCGCCTGCTGGCTGTTGGTTGCCATCATCATGGGACAGAGCAGACCCCACCCCAAGCGCTGTCACCTTCACTAGGATGTCCAGGGGACAATCTCCCAGTTCCCAAAGCCAAACTCCAGCAGGATGCAGAGATGCCCCATCAGCACAACAGGCAGGTGCTGTACTCCAGGACAAAGGGGCAGCCACTGCCAACACAGAGCTGCCTGCAAGTCCCTGGATTTAGGGCTTTCCCACATGGATGCTTCCACCATCCTGCTGACTCACACTCTGTGGGAGGAGGGCACAGTCAGAAGCAGCAGCCACTGAGCTCCCAACATGCACACACCACAATGTAATTTCTGGATTTGTCAGCCAGCACAGCCCTGGAGGGTCCAGGCCACTACACAGGGACTGCCACCAAATTCCCCCTGTAAGGGCAGTTCTGCCTGCTCATGTCTGCTGGGGCAGATTAATCCTCTGAGGATCACAGCAAGCTACAGAACTCACTCAGTGGCTCCACAGGTGGGCAGAAGCAAGAGAGCATGAACCAGAAAGGCTGCTCCAAATGTACTGGAAAGACATTGCCCCTGGAAGCCTTCCATCCAGGACAGACAGCAACAAAACAATGTATGAAAGAGGGAGAAATCGAGGCCCCCAAACACCTGTGCAGGTGGCAAGGCCAAACACGGGAGGGTTAACAGTCTGTGGCCAGGGAAAACTCAGCTGAGCTAAGGACAGGAGGCAGCTCAAATGCTGTCATGAGAACTCCCACCCACGTGAGAACCCTCACCCATGGAGAAGCAACAATCCAGACACTTCTCCAAAGTCTTCATTCTTTGCCTTCCCTCACACTTGTTGTCCTTAGAAGCTCCTGTTCGTCGCTTGGGGAACAGCCCATATATCTGTCCTATTTTCTGCTTTCTTCAGACAGCAATTAGAATGGCATTTTGCTGGAAACATTCCTCCTCTTCCAAAGGTGAAGCACAAGGGGACAGCTGGCTGGCTCAGGCAGCCAGGAATAGAGCAGGGATCTGCAGTGCAGCTTCCCGTGGTAAGAAGCAATTATCAGCCTCTCAAACTTCAATTCCTTAAAAAAATCCACTCAACCTGCTTGCAGCACAGTAAGAACAGACAGCTCCACACTTCCCATCACGGCAAGAAGTATTTGCTTTTCAAAAACAAGTGGTGATGTTTCTATACCCCCCAATCACCCAGCTCTTTTCCACCAAGTCAAAACCTACCTGGATCCGAGTGTCTGGTTGGTTGGTCAAACACATGTGACAACTCATCCTTGTTTGTTATTCAGCACAGCCTGGGAAGGCCTCCAGCTGGGCAAATGAAGTTTCCCATCCAACATCAGGCAGCTCTGACCTGTCCCAAATCACCCAGCCCTCCTTTTTGCCCTTTTAGCCCCAAAATACTGCAGTTTTGGGGGACAGGCCATTTGAACATACAGAGGTTGAGCAGCAGGGTCCAGGACCCAAACTGGGCATTGAAAAAAAACCCACTATGATTCTTGTCCTAGGATGTTCAAAGAACTGCATAAACACTCCCTGATTAAGGAAAAAAAAAAATACCTTCCAGGCTCTGGAAACGTAGGAGGAGGTCTGGTTCAAAACACCACACTAAATTAGCAAGCCTGACAATGAGATAAAAGCCCCTTCAAGGGAAAGGATCAGAAGAGAGTAAAATTAGTCCAAGTGAGATCAAAGACAAATGAAATCAGGAATGTTAAGTGCTTACAGAAGCTCCTGACTATTCCCAACCTCCATTCTTCATCCTGCAGTGACAGGAATGGGGAGGGCCCTGCTGAAGCACAGAGCCACGTGCTAGTGCAGCCTCCTGCTCACCTCCACCCTCTGGCCTGCCCGAGGTGATGCTGTGATGAACCCCAGTCAAGGGGGGCTCCCAGGGCAGCAGCCAGGAGGCTTTTCACACATCAGTCCCAGGCAGGTGTTCCAGCTACAGACCTGGGCTTTGGAGCCAGAGAGCTTTTTGCTTTTTGACTCCTCCTGGAAGCAGTTTGAACTGCTGAGCTATTCCAAGGCGAACAGGAACGGTTTTGAGATTATGAATCATGTAAAAGCACACACACATAGATACACACAACATACATGTGCATTCACACACAGGGTTCTGGAGGAATGCAGATATATTCAAACACAGAGCGTGCTCTGGAACGGAGGGTCTTTGATGCAGCAAGTTAATAGCATTTTGTTCCCATGAGAATTATATTTTCTGACCCAGGCTCTGTAGGGGTTTTTTACTCTCCCCCATGTTGCCAACCCCTAGGCTATAATGTGCATAAAAACAGCCCAGCAGAAAAATGTTCTTTTTCTCCCATCTATTTCCTCACTTCCATCAGCCAGCCATCCACCTCCAGCGTCCAGGCCCAGGGAAGTAAATTAAAAAGTCTCCTGTTGAGTGGCACAAAAAAACAGGGCGTTTCAAATGAACAAAGGTCGTCAAATCTTCAAGGCACAAAGCTGTCCTCTGCCCTCCATGGGAACACAGCCCCTGCCAGCCTGATTTCAGAGCCAAGGCAGGCATCTGAAAACCCACACTAAACCAGCCAACATCCCTTCCCACATCACACATCCGAGCACACAGCCAAACCCCACTCCTGTCACCTCCTCTCCTCAGCACCAAAGGGAGGCAGGAATAGCCCAACTTACCACTGAGCACAGGGGAAAAAAGAGGGGATTCTGGTGGGTTTGCAACTTCAAATCTGTAACTAAGCAGGTGAAGTGTGAGCGAGAAGCACAGCGAGGTCTGACAGATCCCTGACAGTGCAGTTACTCGGGCAGAGGTGAGACCCTCACTGCGGTGTTTTCACATCCAGGACATGCAACACTCCAAGCCCATGGAGATGGGAGCTTTCCCTCCATGGCAAAGAACAGCACAAACCACCACTTGTCTCTTTGCACACAGGGCTATTCTCCTTCCCTGAGCTTTAACCACTTAAATCAAGGTGGAAAAATCCAGACAAGGGAGATGCTTGTTCTGGTGAAATTTTGGCTGTCGGCAGTAAACATGTCCTTGAGCTCTGCTACACAGCATGAGCAAATAAAAGGTTACTGTTCAACAGGAGACAAATGGCTTTGTGCAGAGGAGAACGAGTTGTGGTTTAGTAATTACTGTAAAAACAAAACATACAGGCATAAACCCAGAGGGATGTGATTCCGTGCACTGGCGTATCTGTGCTTCTGTGGTTTTGGACAGCACCTGGCACAGTTGGAATCACCTGATCCACAATCCCTGAGTCAGGTCCCTAAGGCAGACAGAAAGGCAGTGTTTGGTCGAGATGTCCTGTCTTCTCTTGAACAAACTCACTGAGCTGGGGGAAGCCAAAGAGGTTTAGGCACACACAAGATCCCAAGGCACGACCACTCCTAGAACCCCCAGCCCACGGGTACAGCCCCCACTCAGCAATTCCAAGGCTCAGACCTTCACTTCAAGGCAGGGGAGGCCCATTTTCAGCACAGCTGAGTGAGGCCCAGGGAGCAGCTCAAGGACACGCAGCCCAGAGCAGCCAAAGCACTGACAGCTTCCAGTGCCTTCCCACGAAACCCCCTCCAACACTTCC